AACATGGTTATTAAAGTATATTTACATTCCCCTTTTGTTGTTACTTCTTGTTTCATACAGCAATTGTAGCGGCTTGATCACTGAGCTTTGCAGCTCTTTGTTGCAGGCAGACTGTTTGTCATCGAGTGAATAATGCGCATGCGCGATTTTTCTTGGGGAAACATTCTAACTACGCATGCTTATGCAGCAGGTTCTCGGTCAGAAAGCGTAACGGTCGTACATACAAACAAGCAGAATAATAATATAGATACAAGGAAGAAAACACCCCAACACAAGCTAATTTGTACAAGTCTCTGTGTCAACCCTTGAAATGGATCTTCCTCTCTCCAGGTAATGCATGTAAGAAGATTGGTGTATATCACGTGTAGATATCTGTACCACCAAAGAAGCTTTGATATTCAAATACTTGTTTCTATTCGTCTTCTAATATTAGTACAGAACATGTATATTCCGATGTATTTGGGTAACTGTTCTAAGTTTCTATGCAAGTGTTCTTCATATAGTTATGACACCTTTGTAAACCCAATGTACATATTATTTTGCTTCGAGAAACGTTACGTACAACAACAGCAATCTCATAGACCATAGCCCCTGGTGGGCCAGCGATAAGTCTGTAAGCTTATAACGCTAAAAATCGGATTTTCATTCCCTCTCTGTGGTTTTGCGCTTAACAACAAAGAAACTCATAAAAGTTGTTTGACATAATGAAAATAAATTTGAAACGCAATCTATTATTCGATTCACCACTTGTCACTGAGTTATAATTGTTTCGGGGAATTCTACCCAATATCAGTAACCCTGGACAAGGGCAAATCAATTTTTTTAATACACGATTTCATTCCAGCCATTAGGCTGGGGAAGGAAGACAATTAGAGGGATATGTCCTCTACTCGGCCTGCTGGCAATATGAGAAGATAGAAGTAATGACTAATCATAACGTATATGTTGGAGATACCCGATATGCCATGAGAGTGGACGATGTAGATTTTTTGACAGTAAAGGAAAGGTGTTGAATTAGCAGTAGTAATATATAGAAATAACATTTAATCTTCAGGGTAAACATGGTCTGGTAGGTTCTGTATAGGAGCATAATCATGAGCAGGATCCCTAGTTGATGAGCAGAGGAGCATGCCAGTTCTGATGAAGGACATCTATGATATCTTCATTGTCCAGTGAATGCTGATTCCGAGCATCAGGGTGCAATTCCAGAGAAGAAGTAAAAATATCTATATCTGCTATTTTTTATTTGAGGGAGTAGGACATTGTCTACAGGAATAGGATAAGAATGTGAGATTTTTTTATATATTTTTTTGCCTGACAGCAAACGAAACTCTTCCCAATAGTAGGAATAATTCGTATAATTACGAAGTGTACTTTGAGGTTATGCTACCATTTATGCTTTACTGCTCGGTCGTAGTTACGAACTGACTTTTGAAGATATCTGGATAGAAGGAGAGAGTTCCAGAATCTTGGAAATCCATAAATATGTCGAGTAGAGGCGCAATAGATCTAATACACGACGAGGCAGTGCTAGTCTATAAGATCTGCAATACGAAGTTGGGGCAAAAAATGAACTGACATATTTGATAAGAGATTCGAACTTGTCAACTAATGTGTTGGCAAGATCAAGAGAAGATAGACTGAAGTCTAAAGGTTGAACTGTACGAACGATGCGATATCAGTAAGCTGTCCAATGGTCAATGCAAAAATGTAATAATAAAATAGACCTGCTTGTATCAGGTTGGTCATAAATATGATGAATCTTGAGTTGATCCTTGATAAGAGATGAACACTTTCTACCAGATATAGTATGCTGGTGGAAAGAAGAGAAGAAATGGACTCAAGTGGGCTAGGGGGAGGGAACGGCTATAAGGAAACACAAATATGACAGAAATATATCAAAACTGATCAAATTGTGAGTGCTGTCTGCGAGGCTTTAAGAAATGTTTCTTTCACCAATATCCAATCATAGCTAACTTTGTCAAACAGTGGTTCGTGCAGTGGTGTTAATGAAAAAAGGATCGTATGTTGACAAAAAGTCCTGGGTGCAAACTCCAGTCCTGGAGTTTTTATTCATTTATTGGCTTATTCGATTACAATCATGTTTGTTAGAAACTTAACTTTCATTGATTCACAATGCGATTAAATAAAGTAGCCCCCCCCCCCCACGTGGCATAGCGGCATGTCTGCGGACTTACAATACTAGAAACCGGGTTTCGATACCAGTGGTGGGCAGAACCCAGATAGCCCAATGTGTAGCTTTGTGCTTAACTTCAGAACACACAAACAAACAAATAATAGTAACTAAAAACAATATATATATATATAAGTAAGTCTATTTAGACTTGTATGATTTGGTGGGTGGTGTTAAGTCAACCCACTAACTGTCCGACCACAACACAAAGTAGTGTGAAGTACATCCTCATAGTGAAAAACCTTATGGGTGAAAAAAGACGAAAACAGCTTGTACTCTTGGATAGCTAGTTGGTAGAGCAATGACCCTGTTAGCTGGATGCCCTGCATTTCTGATTTCTTTCTGTCGGATATCAGTGAACCTGAATGCCAC